AAAATATATCCTACAGCTGCGACTGCAGTGAACCTTTCGGTTTTTTACAGTACTCAAGGTTGCTTAAAATAAAAGGAGGGCTAACAGCAAATACTGAATTTAAAGTATTGATTTTTTTAGTACAGACCTAGCCTAGGCTAGCTAGATACAAAACCGATAGAGGGCGCTATAGATCAGCGATACAAACATCGCGATAGAAAATAGTGCCCCGACGGAGATAGGATATCCAATGTATTAAATGGGTACTTCGCGGAAGTATACAACAATTTGACCGAATTACTTCCGGATAACACTCCTGAAATGATTTCTGGACCAAGTTACAGTATTGGCTTTTTAAGCGCGCAAATCGAACTATAAAGAAATGTAAGTTTTAAATAATATTTGTGAGCATATTAATTGAAATAGAAGGCATAAAATTCTATTGTCTTACCACGTACCGCAGCTAGGCTCGGCTCGTAGGAACAGAGGGTGCCTTCGTTAATTTGCGGCGGCTACACGCGGGGTAAACAATGTTGTCTGAGGCCTGCAATTAGGCCTAGAGTTATGCGATTCAATATAATTTATTGTATATACGTAGAATCTATAATTTGATAAAAATTATTAAATTTAATATTCAATTATTCAATAATTTTATTCCAATATCGAACAATACAATAATCAGCAAAAGAAATACAAGGGTAGTGGATAAAGGAATAGGTTACAAAATAAGCAAGAAAATGCTTTAAATATGTAACCCTGTAAAGAAAAAAAAAAAAAAAAAAAAATTAATTAATTAATATATAAACACAATATAAAAAATTATACAGAGTATAACATCAAGAAATAACAAAAAAATATATATATGGACCTATCATAGTTAACATTTATTTTTATGTTTTTCTAAAAGATACTGAGACAATTGCTTTTTAAATTTGCCTATTGAGTCTAACTCTTTTAATTCATCATTTAAATTATTCAAAATTTTTGCCCCTTGATAAGATATAGATTGTTGCCCTACGCTTGTGCATTTTTTTAGGGCATATGTTATTTTGATTTCTAGTGCTATAGTTATGGAATGATTCAAATGTCTTAAATAGGTTGTTAAATGATACAGGCAGTAGATTCTTATAATATTGGTACGTAAATATGGCACAGTTTTTTAAAAGATCAAAAATATTTAATGTTTGAGTAATAATAAACAAAGGATGTGAAGGATGCAAGCGGTCAACATGACAGATATTTCTTAATGCCTTTTTTTTGAGTATGTACAAACGATTTAAATTACTAGCAGACGTGGTACTTGATAATATTGGTTTTACATTGTTAAGAACACCAATGACCCTTTAAACATTCGTTGCAATTTCATTTACATGATAATTAAATGTCAGAGCTTCATCCAAAAAAAAGGCCTAAGAATTTGACTTTGGTTGCTCTTGCAATTGTTTCATTTCCAATTCTTAAATTTACGTTAAGAATTTACGTTAGAAGAATATAAATATATATACTAAAATACTATATTATAATTGTTAGTAATTGTCAAGTATTATTTTAACATGGCCTAAAATGCTACATAATTATACTGTAAGGGACACACTTCTTGTATAATAAAAACAATAGGAATTAACAGCAAAAAACATATTTAAAATAGCAATATCTCCGCTAATATTGGTCCAATTTACATAATTTTTGTTTTAAAATGCTTCATTCAGTTATGTCTTTCTATTATAAATGAATTAAAAAAATATTTGGGACATTTCATTTTTTTTTGTTTCTAGTTACCTAGGGCCCTCCGGACTCAATGCCTACCCAAGCTGTTGTTCAGCAGTAGGCCTAAGCCTAACCTAGCTAGCTAGGCCCTACAAAATTTAGTAGTAGGCCTAGTTAGTAGTAGCTGTTCATTTTGTATCAATTTCCAACTGGGCGGCTGGATGCAGGTAGCACGAAATCCATGATGATGCTAGGCCTAGCCTAGGTAGAGATACGCATCAACAACCCAAAACAGTGGCCATGGCCTGGGTAGAACGGTACACAACATCCATAAAGCCACAATTTACACAATCCGAAAAACCAACATCATTTTATGATAAGCAGTCAGTTTACAAATACAAAACAAACCAAAGTGTCAGCGAGTAGCGCCTATGCCAATTCGATCGGTATCTGGAGAGATCATTATCATCAAGCCTGCCAAACTAATCTTTTCAGGTCACCTCACAAACATATCAACAGCTTCTGCCAACCGGGCTTGCAACTTCGGTATGGTCTCTCACCATTACATGCACTACTAAGCGTCTGTATTCCATCCATTCAAATGTGAATTAATAATAATAACAAATAATTCCTAAATAATTTTCAAAAATTGTATGTAAGCAATTAACGAAATTTACCATTCCAGGACTTCATGTTATCACTTTACCAAGTTATAAATTCCTTCACGTTTCATACACCAAACCTTATTTTAAAAGACAAGATTTTCGCTAGATGTCACCCCATCGCCAGAGGAGAATCCCTTTTCGAGAACCAAAATATGTCACATGACGTAAACATAATTGTAGAGGGCAGCATTACAAAAATCAATCATAATAATTATCGTACTACTGTTTACTCATGGAGAAAATAAAATCTATTTTATTTCTCCATGGTTTACTATATTATTATTTTTTGTCTTTGTCAGAAATATTAAAATACAACATAAAAAACAAAAAAGGGAGAGAATAATTCATTTTTTAGAATTAAAATCTAACTAGCATCCGGGAGGAGTACTCGAAATGACATGTTAAGCGCCATTTTTTGTATGCTAGGAAGCTAAGCATGGGCCCAATGGGTTGTCAAAATACAGCACCCAATGCCAGATTCAAAGAAGGGGAAGCCGGACCAGGGCCCCTAAATTTTTTTCAACATTTTTTTTTTTTTAAATTGAGAAAAAAAAGAAAATTATAGGCCTATCCAAATTTAAGTCCGAGACCGCAATTTCTGGCCGGCCATTTAGTGCCATATCATAAATTTTCTTACCTCAGCCAACCATGGTGGGGCTGACTGTATTATAGAGAGAGCCACCCCGATCTGTCAAATCCCTCTCTGCCCCCTCCCCTCCTATATTTCGAGTTCTTGGATCTGCCACTGTCCCTGAAACAACACTAAGAGGACTGACAAAGCTGTCAACTAGGAGAAACTTTACTAATTTACTACGGTTGCTGCTCCGACGTATCGGTTTTCAAAAAAATGTTTGTTTTTGTAACTCCAGACCCTCCACTCTCCTCACTGCCTCCTACCGGCGGACAACCGGATAATCAGTGTAGTAGATGCAGTTTCAGTCTGACAAAACTATAGAGCTAGAAACACTGTGTCAATAAAATTTAAAAGGATTTAACGATCGAAAATGATCAATAAAACGATTTTGTGGCTGTCTCTTATACACATCTAGATGTGTATAAGAGACAGGTCTAACTCTTTTAATTCATCATTTAAA